CGCCCAGACAAACAAATGCAAATGGCACACGCCCTACGCCTCCGCATCTGTGTGTGAGTGTCTATGTGTGTGTCGGTGTGTGTGTGTGTGAGTGAGTGTTTGTAAAGTAGGCAATCGCAGCTTGTGGTGCAATCGTTACCGAATAGATGAGATGCGCAACAAAAGCACCGGCAGCAACTGCCGCAGCAGCAACCGCCGCAGCAGCAACAGCAGCACCAGCAGCGACAGCAGCACCAGCAGCGACAACGGACAGCGGCAATAGAAACAACAGACAATATAACAGAAAACTATAAAAACGTCGTCGCAGTCGCGAATTATTACGACGCCGCAAAATGGGGCGGTGGGTTACAAAATGTGTGCAAAGAGCAAAGCGAACACACACACACACACACACACAAACGAATAAACGAACGAACCGAACGCATAGGCGAGGGAGCACGAGCAAGTTCCTCTCTAGCTTGTGTTCGCTCTCTTTCTTTCCTTCTTTCTCTATCTAGCTGCATCGATGCCTCGCTGCTTCGCTGCATTTGTCTGCTTTTTGTGTGTTTGTAGCAAGGCGCAAGCGAGCAAAGGGGGTGTGTTTAGCAGCCTCAGATGCGGTAAGCAATTGAATAAGCATTTGGTGTTTTTTCAATACCTTCAAATAACAATAACAATAACAAATAATCATAAATCGCGATTCGTTGACTATTCGTAACCGATAACATGATGTCTCTTTAGGTGAAGAACATTGCACAATAAATCAAATTGCACACACACACACACACACACACAAGTACATAAATAAGCATGTTAAGTATATAGAACATATGCAGACAATCAGTCAGCCAAGCAGGCATATAACACACACTGCACATGCACACATTTTGTCATTTTCTTTTATAAATTTCTCCAACATGCATTAAACGATTATTTCTTCTCTCTCTTTTAATTAAATTATCGATTGCTGCTGCTACTGCATGGCAACTTCAAAGTAATAAGCGCATAGGCATATGGTTGTATGTGTGCATGTGTATGTAACATATACATATAAATATGTATGTACAAGCATACTTACAATTGTATGTAGTATGTATGTTTGTACATATGCAAGCGTCTCACTGGAGAAAACATGTCAAACAAAGCAAAACGAAGCAAAAACGGAAACGCAGCACACGAAACAGCAGCAGCAGCGCCAACAATGACGTCGAAGTCAACGTCGCGCCAGCAGCAGCGACAGCGACCAACTCTATGCCAAGCAGAAGCGAATCAAAAGCCAAAAAGGAAAAAACTGAGATTGCTATGAATTAAGTTTTTGGCTGCGCGCAAAAATAAACAACAACAACAAAAACGAAGAGCTTCAAATGTCTGAATGTGTGCGTGAGTGTGACTGTGTGACTGTGTGTGTGTACATGTGTGTAGTAACGGCATTTTATTTGTTTTCTCTCCTTGCAGCAAGCGCGCTGAAGCAAGTGAAACAAAGAGGAAGCGCAACAACTACAGCGAAAAGAAAGCCAAGGCGGCGCTATGTCCATCTCACACTAGATGATGATAGATGACAGTTGTTGGTCGGGGTGCGAGCTATCCAAAAGGGAGGGGCAAAAATTGAAGTTGCCACGCTTCAAGTTTGACACGCGCGTACGTAGGCAAGGCAAAATCCAAAAGGCAATAACAACAAAAAATAATACAACGTAATAATGTTTAACAGTAAAGCCAATGGCAAAGTCAGTGAAATAAATGTACAACTTCATACTACTCCACTACTCTCTGCACCGCTAGGGCAAAAGCAAAACAAAAGAAGTATACATAAATCTACAACAACAACAACAACGACAATACAACAACAATAGCTACACTATTATACTGTACAATGGCACAGAGCCCACAGTGGGCCAACGCCAGCGATGGCAGCCAATGATCCCCACCAAGTAGATAAACATCATCAACACAGCTGCATGACATTATGCTAGCTCATAATATAAACAATGAATTTCTATACATTTAAATATACATAAGTTGTACATTGTATATGTATATGTATATGTATTGGGTATGTTCGAATTCCGAAATATCGATAGACTGTTATCGGTATGCCCACTGGATATATACACAGTGCAGCATACACTGCTAAATATATGTATGTGTGTGTGTACATATGTAATACATGCATGCATAGCAACCACTTCAGGCATGCCGTCTATTCCTGCAGGGCACGCAGACGAAGCCTTGAGAGAGCGAAGAGCGGAGAGCGCCAAAGAGCGTAAAAATTGCATACGAAAAGAAAGGCAGCAGCGGCAGCGACAGCAATAGCTGTTAATGATCACCAACCAATACATACATACATACATATGCAATAACCAATTGTGCTCAATAATTGAAACGCATTTCAAGATCAGCTCAAATGACGTTTTCTTTTCGTCTTTTCTTTAACTACGAAATTCTTTCGTAATATTGTATTTTGTGTGTGTGTTAAAAAAGTTTTAATAACTCTTTGGACTCTGCATGGCTAAAAATAATTATACGCACACAAATACACACATACACATTAACATACTAATGTCGCTTCTCGTTTGTGCGTGTGTGTGTGTGTTTGCAAAGTCTGAAGGTTTTGGTTGCGTTTTGTGCTGTTGATGTTGGCATGCGCTGGCTTTGGCTTGTGGTATTGTGTGCATGTATGTGTGTGTATATGTATATGGCGACTCTAGAGGTGCACTAACAACAACAACAGCAGCGTTGCTGCTTGCTATCATCGCAGTCGCTACTCTCAGTTGCTGCTGCTGTTGCTGTTGCTGTTATGGTTGCTTTTTGTTGCAAGTGGAACGTGATTATTTCAACGAGCGCAACGTTTTTTTAGCACACACACACACACAGACAGACACTCTGTGTGTGTGTATTTTCTACAGCTTGCTTTGATTTCTTTTGGTGTTTTGTTGTTGCTGCTGCGGCGGCTGCTGCTGCTGCTGCTGCTGCTCGCGCTATCTGCGAAGGTTGTTTCCCGCTGTATTTGGGTGCGCGCGTGTTGTTTTTATTTTTGCTTTTGCTTTTGTTATTGTTGTGTTTTAAGCGTTTTTCTCTTCTTTTGTGTTTCTGTTCCTGTCTTTACGGTTTTTTGGTTTTTATTCTTTTGTTGTTACGCTGATTGACATCAATAACTACCGATTATTGACTATCATGTATATGCGATAATTATGATCGATTAACGATATGCATGCCAAATTGTTATCGAATTTGAGGTGCATATACAATTGTATAACTATTCAAATTACCTAAAGTAGAGTTTACTATCAAACTGCATAGAAAATGTTGATGCATGTATGTGTGTGTATGTTTGTATGCCATACATCAATGTATGTATGTGTGTATTCATGCTATTCGAGCATACTATACTAGAATATACTCTTGTTGTTGTTATTGCCTCTCATCTTTACTCGCTGCTGCATACACACGCCCTTCTTTACAGAGCCAGACAAACGGACAGACAGACAGACAGACAAACAGTCAGACGATTTTAGTTGGCTCGCCTGCTGGTGCTGGCTGTGTTTTCTCTCGCCTTCTCCCTCCCTCTCACGCTCACTCTTTTCTAGTTGCTGCCTCCTCTGCGCGCTGCCGTTTTTCGTTTCGTTTTGTATTTTGTGTCGTTTCTGTTTGAACTGTTTGCCGTTGCTGTTGTTGTTGTTGTTGTTGTTGTTGTTGTTGTTGTTGTTATTGTTTAATGTCTCTTGAGTATCTGCTTTGGTTTGCTTTGCTGTGCTTCGTTTTGCTTTGCGCTTGGCCTGAATGCAACAGAAAATAAATAAATAAAAGAAATACTGTGCACGTTCGCTATAATGAACTAATTGTAGTCAAGTTGGTTTTTCCCCCCTTTCGCCCCTTTCCGACGCTGCCCCAACATCCCCTTCTGCTCGCGCACACAAACGCTTTCACAAAAAACATAGAAATTCCGTCTGTCCGCATATTTATTGTTCATTTTAACGACAGCCCACTGTACGCTTATTGTGTGGCCTGCAGCTGTAGTTGTAAGCCTGCAGGAAGCGACAGCGGCGACTAGTTGCGGTTGACGCTGACCACAGCCTAAAGACGGAAATATCCTTGCTAACGCGCGTCAAGTTACACAGCAAATAAAACTGAACGAAAGACTTGTCAGACGGAGCGTTGCCACGCAGGCCAATAAAAACATAGCAAATATATATATATAAAAAAAAAAAAAAAAAGCACCAACCAGAGACAGAGAAGCTGCATTAAACCCAAACAACATTTCCAATGATCACTTGACGCAGATTATAACAACAAACAGAGGCAGAAATAGAAATAGAACTACAGGCATATATGTATGTACATGTATGTATGTATATGCATGCACATTCTGCAAGTGTTATATTTGTTTGTTGTTGTTATATGTATGTATATTTAGCACACTTCCACTATTTTGAGTAATCGCCTTATGTCTTACGCTCGTTCGTCGCCGCCGTCGCCCGCGCTATTTCTCGCTAGATACGCACTTTGGCCTTTCGCTAACTGCGAAGGTTGCCACACGCTCACGCACAAGCTTGAAAGGGCAATCGAGCGAACGAGCACGCGTGGGCAACATCGCGAGCCAGCGCTGCCAATTGAGCTTTTTTTTTTTTAAGTTTAAATATATGCATATATGTACATATATGCATATATTTTATATATTCCATTTATATTTATAAATCAACATATGAATATCTTCAATTATTTTGCAGCTCTAATTGCAGAGGAAGCAGCCTTAGCTAATTTTCTAAATTAACTAAAAGAGTATCACGAAGTCGCCATGTTTTAATTGCTTTTCAAGCAACTTTATCTAGTTTTAGAGTTTTTCTCTTCTTTTTTGTTTTTGGCAAAAGCTGGCACCACTGGCTGCCTCTTACAATTTATAATCAGACACACATAAACACACACACATCCATACATACATATACATACATATATATGCAGTTATACATGTACATGTATGCATGTGTCTGTGCACGATTGTATCTCTATCTCGTTCGTTTACTCACTTTGGCAAATTCTGCAGGTAACGCATTTGCTTCTCACGTCTCAGCTCATCGGTAAGTCGGCAATAGGTGTTATTGATGCAGACGCTGCGGCGCAGGTTCGCTTCAGAGTCCTTGATTCGCTCCAGCTTGTGGGCGCACAGCTGCAGGATGCGTTTACGTTCCTCGCGCTGACGCAGCTTCGGCGAGATCATTGGCACGCGCGAACGATGATGGTGATAACCAATGGGGGGTGAGCAGCGTGGCGGTCCGAACATGTCCGAATCATCATCGCTGCTGCTGCCATTGCCGCTGCCGCCGCCACAGCCGTTTCCATTCGCTGCATTTGTATTGGTTGGCAAGGTCATTGTGCGATGTGTCTGTGTCTGTAACTTCGACTGTGACTGTGTGTGTATGTGCGTGAGCGACTGCAAGTGTGTGCGTATGAATCGCATTCAAAGCTTCGCTTGCAGACTGTTTAAGTCTCTCTTCTTTGAACTATTTGCTGCTGCTGCTGCTTCTTCTTCTTCTTGCTTCTTCCCACTGCACACACAAGGTAAACAGCAAATGTTTATTTAAGTAATAAATTATATTGAAAAAAACAAATTATTTTATTTTAGAATTTTTTGTTGCTTTGTTTTGTTTTGTATTGTTCTGTTTTTGGTTTTTGTTTTTTTATTTTTTTTATGTGTGAGTGTTTTGTTGTAGTGAGAAATGATCACAAGCTGCTTTTAATTGTTGACTTTCGATAGGAAGCAGCCTACTTGGTTTTTTTTTTTTTTTTTTTTCCTTTGCAAATTACAACACGCTCATGTATAGGAAAGTGTGCGTGTGTGTGTGCTGCTGCTGGCGTCGCTGCTGCTGCGCTGGTGCTGCGTGAGATTTCACTTTGCTTTTGCTGTTTGTTTTGTTAGCATGCGTGCGTGCGTGTGTGGCCCGTTATGTTTCGTTAACTTTGCATTAATTCGCACGCTTTATCTTTTTTTTTTTTTTTTGTATTGGCTTATGCTGTTGTTTTTGCATTTGTTTTACTTCTGCTATAAAAATTCAAAATAATCCAGGACTTTTGAATTTATTCGAGCGCACAGAACTCAACAAAAAATAATCAAAAAAAATTTTCAAAAAAAAATAAAACAACTGTTATATTCTATTATTAACTGTTCAATTAGGCACTCAGTGTTGACAATTACAATTCAAGTTTGGCAGCCTTTTTTTTTATTTATTTATGTCAAGTAATTTGTTATTGTTTTTGATTTTTGGATTTTTTTTCTTTGAACACGCGGCTTCCTTAGGCGGTGGGCAGTGCAAGTGCAGTTTGGAGGGCTGAATGGGGGGCGCGGTTTAAAAAGGAGCGACGCACACAAAGTCAATAGAGTTTGAGAGAGGCACAAGTCTTTTACTAATTGTTTGATTTGTTGTTTTAATTAAGTTTTTGTTGCTTTAGAATTATTATTAATTAATTATTATTATGTTCCTTCATTTTTTTTTTTTTTTTTTCTAAAATT